GGGGCAGCGGCCTGCTCCTGGGCCCTCCTCTCGCACCTGTGGGCGCCTGAGCTCCAGCCGAGCACAGAGGCCACGACCCCCTGGAAAACCTGGGCTCTGAGCCGCACAGAGGACGCTGCAGGGAAGCACCTGGCCAGCATGTCACTGCCCCAACTGCCCGAGTGCCACCATGTCCAGCTGGGCAGACACAAGACCCCCCCCAAACAAGACAAAGGTCCCATCTGAGGAGAGACAAGACCCCTGACCCCCACCAGACTGCCACCTCGTGCCGTGCCCCTGCCCTGCCCCTCCCAGCCATGCCTCCTTGCTGAGCCTGTGAAGGGACACAGTTGACATCTTTTACTCTCCCAGCCTGGCTGGCCAGGAACTCTGCCCCCTTCACCCAGGGCCTGGAGACAGAGGTGGCAGGGACAGGCCTGTCAGGTTCCCAGGCACTCCAGCCACATGAGAGGCGTCCCTGAGTCCTTGCCACCAATGGTGTCACTGAGCAATGCCCTTCCTTCCTGTCCATGGGGTGGTGGGCCAGCATGTGGCTTCCGTGGGCCCTGTGACCACAAGGCACGTGTGGCCTTGGGCAGGGAGCGGACCCCCAAGCATCATCCTTTCATCTGCAAAACGAGGGGTCACAGCAGACCATGGCTCTGAAATTAGGATTCTGCGAAGCTTCCTGCACCATCCCAGAAAGTCAAATGCGCGATAAATAAACGCTGCGCAGAGCTCCCAGGGACAATCAAAGCGCTCAGGCTCGCTGCCCTCCAGCCTCGACTCCTGAGGTGCCCAATGCAAACCCTCAAAACACCCAGGCCTTAGCTTTTTCATCTCCACTACAAAGAAAGGCTTTACTGGCAGCCGTTTGATTTCTTTCTTAAAGCCTCAGCCTATGGACAAAGGCCAGGCGGCTTCACACTCTCAGTAAACTCCAAGTGCAGACCCTTGGCCCTCTCAGGGCTCTTCACGTGATCTTGGCCTCCCCGGCCCGGCCCCACAGAACAGGGGCATCTGCTCAGGAGACACGTGGGAAACACACGCTCCCCAGACCTGGACCTCCACCCCCACCGCACCCCATGGCAAGGCCCCGGGCAGAGCTGAGGTCAACGGGCCGGGGCCTTGTCTCAGGCTGGACGACTGCACTGGGGTAGACAAGCTTCCCTGGCCATGACGCACCTTCTACAAATGACCACAACACACCTCCCACCCCATGAGGTCTGCAATGGGAGCTCAACACACCTCCTGGCAAGTGGGGGATCCGTGCCCCACCCTAAGAACGTAGCAGACCTCTGACTGCCTCAGTCAACAGGTTGTGTGGATGTGACCCTATGTGACATCCACGGCTAGGGCATGTCCTCCTGGTTTTTTTGAGACACTCACTCTTAGGACCCAGCCACCACGCTGTGAGGAAGCCCAACTAGCCCATGTGGAAAGACCATATGGAGAAGCCACATATAGATGTCCTGGTCACAGGCCCAGCTGAGGTCTTGGTCAGCACCAGTATCAACAAGCAGACTTGGGTGAAGATGCTTCCAGAAGATACCAGCCTTCAACTGTCGACTCAGCCCCAGCAGAGGCTCCAGACACAGGCAAGCCATCATGCTGTTCCGTCTGAACACCTGCCCTGCAGGACTGCGAGTACCTCAAAATGGCTGTTTGCACCATGAACTTGAGGATGGTTGGTTACTCAGAGAGGGCATATTTCTGGCTGTTTACCTGTTGCTGTGATGACAGTCACATGTGTGCCTCTAAAGGAAAAGCTGTCGGGTTTCCTCTCACCTGCACACGTTCCAGGCTTCTCCCCTGCTCTTGCCTCTGGGTCAGCAGCACAGAGGGCCAGACACCCACCCTCTGCTCAACTTTCCAGCACCAGCCCCTGGGTGAGATGTCGTGGAGGCCCCACGGGTACATGGCAAGCTGCAGGTGACTGGCTCAGACCGAAAGGAAGCCTCACAGGTCCTCAGCCTGCCCAAGATGCCCGTCCTGGTGACTGCCCTGCAGCAGCCCTGGAGCCCAGCCTGTGCCTGCAGCCCCCACCCCCACCTGTCCTCCACCTCGCACCTCCCACCACACGCGGCCGGAGCCTCTTCCCAAAGCCCAGGTCTGGGGAAGGGGCTTCCGCTGCTAACTGACGCTGCAAGTACAACGGTCTCAAAAGGATCCCGACTGTAGCTCCCACTTCCTGGAGGCACCTGACGGAGTCAAACTCATAGAGACAGAAAGTCGAAGGGAGGGTGCCAGGGGCTGGGCAGCGGGGTGGGGGTTAGTGTTTAGTGAGGACCGAGTTTCAGTTTGGGAGATGAGAAAGTTCTGGAGATGGGTGGTGGTGGCGGCTGCACAACAACTGAACGTGCTTAATGCCTGAACTGCACACCTCAAGATGGTTGTGATGTCAAGTTTCTGTCATGTACATTTTACTACAACAAATACATATTTAGTAACAATAATGCCAGTGCTGTCCCCAGGTCCCCAAGGAACACCTAAGCTGACTCGGCTGTCCCTGCTCTCAGCAGCTCCCATCCTTGTTGTCTGAGCTGCCGCCAGGCACAGGGAGCCTTCGTGCAGTGTACAGCCTGCACGGCCACACCGGCGTCCCCGTGCGCCCACGGCCAGCCCCAGGCTGACCTGCGCAGCCTCTCCTACCCTTGGCCCCCTGCCTGCTGCGGCCGACTCACCCATTCTCCCTGACACTCCCCAGGCAGTGTCTGGTCCCCGCTATTTGTCTCATGTCACCATCCATGTACCTGTTGCGAACCCCTCACCCCACCAAGCACAGCACCCACCCTCCCCCACCTGCAGCAGATGGAGCCACTGGCCTGGGCCCCAGGGAGAGGGTCACAGGTGAAAAGTGAAAGTGTCCCTGCTGGAAAGACCACAAGGCTGCCTGGCTTTCTAAATCAATTTCCATTTTATTGGAAATTCTCCACATGCCACAAATTTACATGAAAATTCCCATTCGGGATGTAGCTCGCTACAGGGAACACCAAGTTCAGACGCGGGCATCACCATGAGACGCCGCACATGGGCAATTCAACTGGACAGAGACAGGGAGGTCGGTCATCAAAAGGCAGGTGACACATGTATGGTCATTTAGCACCTGCTCTCAAGATACAGCGAGATCCCGGCCAGGGATAGTTCTCGCCCTAAAAACACACTGAGCTCTGTCTGCCGTTTCTGGGCAAAGTCACACATGGACAGGCAACAGTCAGCAGGGTGGTGGCACAGGGCTAGGGGGACACGCCACCAATGGCTGCAGGTGACAGCCACGCACATGCACGCATACACACACCCCCGCATGCACATCGTCACACGGTCGCCCAGCTCCATGGACATCCATGGTGGTCCCAGCCACAGCACACATCCAGCTCACTTTCTGTTCAGGGAGAGGCTGTGCTGGGCCTGGTGGCAGCAGCGTCAAAAACCCCTCACAACAGCCACAGCCGAGCAGCAGCCCTGGGTCACCCTCTTCCCCACCCTTCTATATGCCTGGGAAAAGAATTAGAAAGTAATTTGGACAACACTGCTAGCCTGTGTTAGAGCCACCGCTGGCTATCTGAAGTCTCTGTGGGCTACTTGATCACCAAGCCCAGTAGATTCTAGAAACTTCTGTACCCCCACATGCAAATGAGACCGATGACCTCAAGCACCCTGTGTCGAGGTAGAGGCCACTGAGAACACCAGGCGCCTCAGGTCTCACGGCAACAGCCATGCGCCGTCATGCCCTGTCCACTATATTCTCTCATTATTGTTTCTAACGAGAGCTCTGCAGCTCTCAGATCCTAAAAGGAGCAAATAACAAGGGGAGGAGGAGGCAGGAGGCCACCCCAGCGCTGCCCGGTGGGGACGTGAGGGTGGCTGCCCTTGCCAAGGCACAGCCCACAGCAGGTGCTGCTCTGGGACCCTCATCCGCCAACAGGTGCCTAGGCTGTGGCTGCCTCCGCCCCTCCAGGCCCAGGCACACACCCAACTTTGGTCTCCTGGGCCCGAGTGGCCTGCGGCACTGGGTCCCCGTGAAGGAAGCCACTAAGGAGGGTGCTGCCGAGCTGGCGGGAGGGTGGGGGGCACAGCGGCACCCCAGGTGTGTTTCCAGTGCCAGAGGAGCTCAGCCTGTCCTGGCTGCCATCCTGGGCCAGAGCGGGGAGCGCCTCCCCGCGTGTGCACACGCAGGCCCACAGATGGCCTCACCGAGAAGTGACCTCTCAGGCCTGTGTCCGCATAGGGCCTCTGGTAGGCAGCTGACAGGCAGGGACAGACCTGCCCCTCTACTGTGTGAAGCAGGGACAATAAAATGACTTGCCAGTAGAATTGAGAAAAGCCACCTCCCAGCAAGAAGAGAGGACCTGAAGGCCCAGAAATGCGCCTTTTCTCTGGTTCCCTCAGGCTTGATGCCTTCCCTGGGGACACCTGCAGAAGCCTGGGGGAGGGGGCCCAGTGTTGCTTGGCGATGGGGAGCAGGCTGTGGGGCCGCAGGTGGCAGGACTCAGGGCCTCTGAGGACCAGGGAGGAAGGGACAGCTGGGTGTGGGACAGACAGAAGGGACAAAAGCCCTGCCTCCTCCACCTTCCTTCCCACCCCCCAAGTCTCTCTCTCACACGTGCTCGTGCACACACATGTGCACATGCACACAGCACAAGAGCGCACACAGACACAAGCACACACATTTGCACACACAGGGCACATGTGCACGGATGCACATGCATGCACACAGACGTGCATACACAAGGCACACGTGCACAGGCATATACACATGCACACAGACATGGGCACACAGGACACACATGTACACACATGCACACAGACACATGTGCACATGCAGGCACGGGGCCACATGCTGACCAGGCGCCTCCCGGCAGGCAGCATATGGTCCACCGCTTAACAGCCTCGTCCTGCCAATTGGGGGCCATTAGGGTGGGTTCTTTTCCCAGTGTAAAATGCTGCAGAATATAAATTGCAATTAACACCGGTGCCAAAATAGCACTTAGCGAAAATAAGCATGTTATTAACATCTGGTGGGGTGTAGAAGCAGCGGAAATTCTTGCTCTAAGTCAAAGGATTGTTGCAGGGGACACTAAAAATACAAGGCTACCGTCTGAGGGTTGCTTTCCAAGGCCGTTTGCAGCCCCAGCCTCATTTACGAGCACAAACCACATTGCCAGTGAAAACTGCTTGCTCATGAGAACAGGCCATCAGGGTGTGATCATAAAAACACCAGGATAAATTCCAAGTGGGGGTTGCTCTGGAGGAAAGGAGACAGGCACAAAAGCCACAGCACCCAGAGCCACACAGGCCCCTGCAGGTCCAGAACATCCCAGGCCAGCTGCCTCCCTCCTGGGGCTGCCCGCCTGTCAGGCTGTGACCAGCCACAGCGCCTTGCTTTGAGCACAAGAGCAGTCAGCCCTGGTGGCTCCACCCCACCTGATTTGATCCCCCTCGATGGTGGTCTCCAGGTGCCATTTCAAAGCTCTAAAGAAATGCCCAGAAACCGGGGCACAGGGAGGACCCTCATCTATAGCTGGGTGGGAGTTGGCCCTGCCTCCTGCGGCCCTGGGCAGCCTGTCCTGTGGCCTGCATGCCAGGAGGAGACGGGACCCAGCTTCATGGCTCTCAGAGGCTGCGTCAGGAGGGCAAAGGCGCTGTCTAGCGTGGTCCTGCAGTGGGGCACTCCCTGGCTCAGCCTGCACATGGGTCCCTCTGGCCAGGAAGCAAAATCCCTCCGCCAGCTGCAGCATGGAGTGGGAAGAGGATGCCCCATGCTCCAGAGAGGGGGAGACAACCCACTCACATAAGGAAGATGGGGTGAAGAGGGAGGAAACTTCCCTCCCCCCGCACAGGTCCCCCGAGCAAAGGAGCAGAGCCACTGGAGCAGGGCAGAGACCCAGTCGGAGCTGAGAGGCATCCGCAGGACGAGAGGTCAGAGTGTGAGGAGGGCAGCCAAGGCCAAGGAGGCTCCGCAGGCCTGACCCACAGGGGCCAGGACGGCCCCTGCAGACACCAAAGTGCCTAGGCGATGCCCACAGCCTGCCAGGGCCCAGTACCAAGAAGGACCAGGGCCGGGCCCAGTGGGACAGGACGCAACCTCAGCCTCCCCTCCAGAAGCCACCGGCCCAGGGGACCACGGCTCCAGGAGAGTCTCAAGTTTGAGGGAGGCAGAGGTAACCAGCTCAGTGCACAGGGTGAGGCCCTGGAGACTGAAGGTCATCTCTTGTTTTCAGAATATTGAGTATTTAACTATTAAATAAATATATCTGAAACAGGGTAATTTGATCACTACTCCAGCCTTAAACATCTTTTCTGGATTTTAATGTATCAAGTTATTCTAACAAAGGCAAATGTGTATATATAGACCTCCCTAGAAAGGCAGGCGGACCTTCATGGGGAGCTGGAGTTTCTGGAGCTGAATGCCACAAATTGGGTGTGGGGGTGAGGTGGCCTCTGTGAGGGACAGGCCCTGCTCCGAGGGCCCAACAACCCGAGGGAGGCCCTACTCAGCCATCCCAAGACGTAAGTGGGTTACGATGTGTCTTCATGGGAAGGAGCGCCCTAGGGGTCACCCAGCTGGCTCGACTGCACAAGGAGCACCTGCAGCGAGCAGCATGGCTGTCCGCACACGCCCACCCACACGCAAGGGCTCAGCCACCCGCACTTGGAGTCCGGATGGCAGGTGGCCACGAACCACCACGGGACACTCTCCAGGGCCACAGCCTTTACCCTTGCACTCTGGGGCTGCGGCAGGCCCCCAGCATTGAGTCTCTGTGCGAGAACACCCCAGCCAGGCCCCCCACGTCGACAGCCCACCTGATCCCCCTCTGGCAACCCGAGTGTGTCCCCTCATCCCAAACTTTAGCAACAGTCCTCACGAGAGAAAGCCGGAGGAGACACCCAGAGCCCCAGGAGCCACCAGGAGAGACAGCTCTTGTCCTCCTGTGGCAAACCCATGAATCCCTGGTGTCCACAGGCTCCTGGGGGCTGCAGGAAGGCGGGGAGCAGCAGTGGCATCTCACGGCGACTTAGACGATAGGCAGAGGCTCGGCGCGGTGCTGGGCCCGTCCCTCACCACCACAGGTTAGGTGGTTCCTCAGCCACTCTGCTTTTAAATAAGGTGATCTCATCCAGGTGCACCATGGGGACATCCCGGATCACGTCGGTTAGGCCCTCGTGGAGCAGAGGGAAGATGACGACGTTCAACGCAGGACGCTCGGCCTGGAAGCTGAATCAGAGATAAGGCGTTAGCAGAGCGTCCCAGGCCCACGGAGCAGAGCAGAGGCCACCTGCAGGAGAAGCCTGAGAGACGCTTGCACCTGCCCTCCCCACATGGGCTCACCTGCATCTCCCTGAGACCCCAGTCCTGCGTGAGAGTCACCCTGGTGGCAGCCAGAGCCAGAGGGGACGGGCAAGGATGAGGAGGCGGCGGGGAGGAGGGAGCCTGCCAGGAGGAGGCACCCACTCTGCACCAGGCACAAGAATCAGAGGCCGAGGGAGGCCAGCCCTGCTCTGCAGACAGGAGCGCTGGCCCGGGCAGCTACCGCAAGGGAGCTACAGAGCCGATACCTCTGGCCACCAGAGGCCCCACGGCAAGGATGGAGGGAAGGGACAGGTGGTCAAACCCACACAGCTGGGCACGAGCCACCCTTGAGGGGGTGCAATCCCCAAGTCAGGTGAGGCAGCAACATGGGCTCTATTCTGGAACTGCGCATGTTTTCTGGATGTGTGACAAATAGCTGGCAGACAACCTTCCCTGCTCACCCCTAACCCCACGGGGACCAGCTTCCCTGCCATACTGTGCACAGGAAGCTTATGTACAATGTCCATGGAGCGTCACCCACAGGAAGCTTATGTACAACGTCCATGGAGCGTCACCGTGGGCCAGGCACTGTGCTGAGCTTACCAGACATGACCCCATTTCACCCTCTCCACAACCCCACGGAGCTGGCCTCAGTCTCTCAGCTGGTCAGGGGCAGAGCAGGACCCTTCCCAGTCAGAGCCAGCCACGTCCACGCTGCCACCCACTGGGCCAAAATGCAATGTAAAGAAAACCCACGTGCTGGCCCTGGGAACTCAAGGCAAAAGAAAGAACACAGCAGTGCCCATGGAGGGTGACAGAAAACATCTAGAAACTTCCATCTGAGGGTCTCAGAGGGCACAAGGCAGGAAGGTGCCCATGATAGAAAGCCTTGCCATTTGCCAAAACTAGGGCAAGTCCCCTGTGGCACCAGCACCAGCTTAAAGGAGGAAGGCCGTGGCCCCTGCCCATATGCAAGGTCAGTGCAGAAGGGCACTCATAGACTCTGATGCTTTGGCAATAAAGATACCAAGAAACACCTCCAGGTTCTGTGCAGTGTCCGCTCGCTGGCAGCAGCGTCTATGACCGTGAACCTCACAGGCCTCACCGCAGACGCTTTGCCTGTATACCCATCATGCAATTACTTAATGTAAAACAAAACCTCCCCCACGTGCGTCCAAAGGATCTGGTGTCACCCAAGGCTCTTACGGAGCTGCTGTCCAGATAGGGCAGGTGGTTCACTTCTCACCATGAGCAAGGAGGGCAGAGCCGAGGCCTGCTCCTTCCATGAGTTCAGGGCAGGCATGAGTTGCAGCTGTCTCAGTTGGCCAAGAGGGAACAGCACTCCCCAGAGGTCCCTGGGCCACAGGTGGAGGCGCCACCACCAGGGTTCAACTGCTTCCTTCTGAGGGCGCCAACTCTAGTTCACACCTGTATCAACTTTGACTTGGACAAAACTCTGGAGAGCAAACCCACAACTTTTTATCTTTTCTTTGTACAGCACCTCCCTGGTTCTCAGGGTGCCCACACATGCTGCCTTGGTCAGTATTCACAGCTGTGCACCGTGTCACCTAGGCTAGAGTGCAGTGGCGTTATCATAGCTCACTGCACCTCAAACTCCTGGGCCCAAGTGATCCTCCTGCCTCAGCCTCCCGAGTAGCTGGGACTACAGGCGTGGACCACCACAACGGGCTAATATTTCTATTTTTAGTAGAAACAGGGTCTTGTTCTTGCTCAGGCTGGTCTCAAACTCCTGGCATCAAACAATCCTCCCACCTTGGCCTTCCAAAGTGCTGGGATTACAGGCATGAGCCATCATACCCAGCCTCTAAAAAAGTATTTTAAAAATCAGCCAGGGGGGCCGGGTGTGGTGGCTCACGCCTGTAATCCTAGCACTCTGGGAGGCCAAGGCGGGCAGATTGCTCAAGGTCAGGAGTTCGAAACCAGTCTGAGCAAGAGCGAGACCCTGTCTCTACTATAAATAGAAAGAACTATATATATATAGAAAAAATGAGCCAGGCATGGTGGCGCATGCCTGTAGTCCCAGCTACTCGGGAGGCTGAGGCAGCAGGATTGCTTGAGCCCAGGAGTTTGAGGTTGCTGTGAGCTAGGCTGATGCCACGGCACTCACTTTAGCCTGGGCAACAAAGAGAGACTTTGTCTCAAAAAAAAAAAAAAAAAAAAATCAGATAGGAGAAGTAGCCCAAGTATCTGCCGGCTAATAAACAGATAAACAAAATGTGGTCCAGCCACACAATGGCATATTACTCAGCCTTAGAAAGGAAGGAAATGCTGACACATATTACCACATGGATGAACCTAGAGGATATTATGCTCGGAGAAATAAGCTCGTCACAACAGGACAAATACCATGTGATTGCACTCATACAAGACTCCTAGAGTAGTCAAATTCATAGAGACAGAAAGTATGATGGTGGGCGCCACAGGCTGGGGATGGGGAAGGGGAGCTGTTTAAGGACTATGGAGTTTCTTTTGGGGATGAGAAGGGTTTGGGTATGGACGGTGGTGATGGGAACACAACACTGTGAATGTATTTAATGCCACTGAATTGTACACTTACAAATAGTTAAAATGGTAAGTATCTTACCATCCATATTAAAGCATCTCAATTTACAGAGAAATTGGGGTGGGGATGTGACATCCATCACTAACCCTGGTGGCGGGCACTGCCTGACCCTCTCCACCCCTCACCGCCCACAGAGCTAACACCACCCACTGAGGACTCGTCTCCAGCCTCTGGAGCCCCAAATCTGGCAACCCCCCACCAACTGTTCCCAGGTCATCCTTCCAAGAGACCCCTGAGAAGAGGGAGGCGCAGACTGCAGTGTGGACGACGAACAACGCTGCTTTCTAGGCACACGAGAAGACAGCTGCTCCCCTGGGTCAGGCCTGAAAGAGCACCCACCAGCCCCAGCAGGTCCCCCACTATCTGCTGCTGTGGCCTGAGCACCAGGGTGGGGTCTGGCTGTGGACCAGGAGCCCTTGGGCCCAACCCCGGCTCGCTGCTCACTGTGCTATGGTGTGATCAGGACCCCCAGTTCTGTACCTGCAGAACGAGGCCTCCAGGGACGATGGAAGGATTCCCAGGCCACCCATCGGCTACTCAACTCCCAAATGGCCAGAGACAGACTCCTTGGTGGCAGGAGAAGGTCTCCTACCAGACACAGCCACAGCCCACCATGGGGTCTCCTCCGGTGGCACAGACAACCTTGACCATAGATGTTATCAGTAAACATCTCCCACTAGCTCAGCAGTAACCAGGGGCCACGATCCAGGGCCTGATGTCCCTTCTCGATCCTCACGCTCTGCAGTCACTATAGTGAGGCCCACAGCACCTGACTGCTGGTCCAAGGCCTGCCAGCCCCCAGACCCAGCCTCACAGGCGTCCTCTACGGAGCCAGAACTCACCAGCCACGGAGCTCTGAGTCCAGGCCACCATCTCTCCCAGTTGAACCTGCAGATGTGAAACCCTGTTGGCCCCAGCGTTCCCCGAAGAAACAACCCTAGAGACCACCACACAACAGTGAGCCAAGCAATTCACCATGGACTTCAACTGCCTCCTTTGGCAGCAATTAAGGATACAAAATAGCACTAATTCCATTTTTTTGAAGCTACCTTCAATTCTAAAGCTCTCAGTGGTGCTCAGACTTAATTTGTTGCTCTCTCTGTAAACTTACTGGCTTCTAGCCCTGTTTGCAGAACAGACACAGACGACATCCTCAGAGTTCTCCGGGCATCTCCTGGCCCCTGAGCAGGAGGCCCTTGGAGCTTGCCAGGGACACACCAGCGTGTCAGGAGCCACATCACCCAGTGCCACAAACCAGGAACCTGCAGCCACCACATGCGCAGGGCCAGGGGAACACGCTCCAGGCTGACTTGGGGAAGGAAGTCCCACAGGACCCCTGTGGAGGGACGTTAGAGCTGAGTCACACCAGCCTGTCGGGAGCGGGAGGACCATGCCTCTCTCACTTGCTGGACAGGGCTCTTGAGTGCTCTGTAGGAAGGTCAGTAGTTCTGGTGGCCTGGAAGTGCCAGGAAGGGGACAGACACCCCGTAGATGCTGGCCCGGGAAGCACTATCCAGCCTCAGAGGCGGCACATCCTCACCCTGGACGGCGCTGCTACCGGCAGGGGAAGCTCCGGGCCAGGAACATGTGCTCTCCGCCTCGGGCTCCCTTCGCAGGCTCTGAAGAAGCAGAATACCCTAGAAGCAGGACAGGGCTGTCAGAAACCCCAAGTCCCTGCCACAGAGGCCACCGCTGCAGTGCCCCTTCCCCGAGCCCCAGCCTGGACATTGCTGTCCAGACCTGGAAGTGGCTGGCACAGCCTTTTCTGCTTCACTCAAGGAAGGAACTGCCTCTCCCCTCAACAGGGCACTGCGGGAAGCAGCAGACAGTGGCAGGATGGGCCGCGCCAGCTCCAGTGCCTGCCACTTACTCACAACCATGGCAATCACTAACATTTCTCAAAACATGGGAGAAGGCCGGGCGTGGTGGCTCACACCTGTAATCCTAGCTCTCTGGGAGGCCGAGGCGGGCAGATTGCTCAAGGTCAGGATTTCGAAATCAGCCTGAGCAAGAGCGAGACCCCATCTCTACTATAAATAGAAAGAAATTAATTGGCCAAATAATATATATAGAAAAACTAGCCGGGCATGGTGGTGCATGCTACCTGTAGTCCCAGGTACTCGGGAGGTTGAGGCAGCAGGATTGCTTGAGCCCAGGAGTTTGAGGTTGCTGTGAGCTAGGCTGATGCCATGGCACTTACTCTAGCCTAGGTAACAAAGTGAGACTCTGTCTCAAAAACAAAAAAAAAAGTGGGAGAAGGCACTGCCACCACAGAATGGCTGGGGGACGCATCCATGTTACCATTTACCAGGGCAGGCGCAGAGAGCTGGTGCCGACTCTACCACCAGAGGGTCACAGCACCACAGGGTCACAGCAACAACTGGAAACAGCTGCAGTTTCACAGGGAAGAAACCACAGCTCAGAGAGCAAAGTGACTTGCTCAGAGTCACAGAACCAGTGAGTGAAGGTGCTGGACTGTGAGCCCAGCAGGTGGGCTTTGAGGACAGGAGAATAGTTTGACCTCAGCAGGACACTGCATAGACCAAAGAGTCTCAAGCCGTTGTCACTCCCCACAGGAAACCTAGAGACCCGGGGCTGGTGACACAGTGCCCTTCCTAGCCCCAGATGCTATAAGGCCTGGCAGGAAGCGTTTCCAAATGGGAGAGTCCAAGAACACCAGGAGCCTTTGAACCTCGCCTTGGAGGGGCTTGCCACATAGCACAGCGGCTGGAGGATGGTGGAGTGGGCAGTGCTGAAAGGAATAACCTCGACAGAGGGCCACGGGCTCCGGCTCCTGGCACTGCCCAAGCTGTGGGCTGACCTGGGCCCAGACAGCACCCTCAGCCCATCACGGCCAGTGCAAATAGGCAGGGCACCTGCATTATCAACTCGGCCAGGAATAGGAGACAGGATATGGGACAGACAGGAGGATGGCTGCGGCCACCAGGCAGGGTGTCCCTGAGGCCAAAAGGGAGGTGGGGACAAACACCCCAAGTCAAGGGATCTGGCATGTTTCTCTGGCAGGAGGATGCGGGGAAGCTTCACTTCAGCCAAGAGGCCATGAGACCCTCCAGTGCCCACAAAGACTTGCTGCTCCCCGAGGCATTTTCTTTCTTTTTTTTTTTTTTTTTTTGAGACAGAGTCTCACTTTGTTGCCCAGGCTAGAGTGAGTGCCATGGCATCAGCCCAGCTCACAGCAACCTCAAACTCCTGGGCTCAAGCAATCCCGCTGCCTCAGCCTCCCGAGTAGCTGGGACTACAGGCATGCGCCACCATGCCCGGCTAATTTTATATATATATATATATATATATATATATTAGTTGGCCAATTAATTTCTTTCCATTTATAGTAGAAGCGGGGTCTCGCTCTTGCTCAGGCTGGTTTCGAAATCCTGACCTTGAGCAATCCGCCCGCCTCAGCCTCCCAGAGTGCTAGAATTATAGGCGTAAGCCACTGCACCCGGTCCTATTTTCCAAGCTCTAAATCCAGAGAAGCACTGGGGCCACCAAAGAGGCCCAACCAAAGAGGGAGGGATAAGCCGAAGAAAGCCCAGCAAGATCGAGCAGAGTCAAATGCCACAACCAGCTGGAGAAAGGGCCAGAGAGTTAAGTTTCAAATTTGAAAGAGCAAAGTCAAGATACAGAAGATAGGCCAGGTGCCATGGCTCATGCCTGTAAGCCCAGCACATTGGGAGGCTGAGGTGGGACGACTACTTGAGCCTAGGAGTTCGAGACCAGCCTGGGCAACACAGCAAGACCCCACCTCTACAGAAAATTTAAAATTTAGCTGGGCATGACGGCACATGCCTGTGGTCCCAGCTACTTGGGAGGCTGACGCAGGAGGATCCCTTGAGCCAGGAGTGAGCTGTAGTGAGCTGTGATGATGCCACAGTTCTCCAGCCCAGGTGACAAGAGAGACCCTGTCCCCCCAAAAAAAAAGATACAGAAGATAAAAAGTAGAGAATATACATCACTCAAGATGCTGTGGTCAGGGATTTACACAGGTCATTTCCCATCTACGACCACCCGGGTCTGTCTCAAACCAGCCTCGAAAATGCGGAAACAGGGTAAGCCCCTGAGGGCAGCCATGAGCTGGGGCTGGATCCAAACCCAGGTGGCAGCAGGGCCAAAGCCATAGGTCATGGCACCAAACCCCCAAAGGCACGACGACCCCCAGCTGAGGTGTGTGAGGGTAAGCCCCCCATCAGCAGACAGGAAGTAGTTGACGGTGAAAGGAGCCAGCAACAAATAGGACCGCAGAGGGGACAGCAGCCCCACTGGCAGAGTCACGGATAAGGGTGAGAAACAGGTGAGCCTTCCACGCCACTCAGTACTCTCTGAGCTCTGAAGGCAGGGAAAGGGTGAGAAAAGGAAGAGCATTAGCAAAGGTGACAACAAATTCCAGCTTTTTCCTCTTCCCAGTTTCCCCTTGGACGAAGGCAGGCCTGGAGGAGGCGGGGTGGGCTGGCTGCCGCGAGCTGCGGCGCCATCTGCTGGGGATCTGCAGAAACGCACTCGGGCACAGCCGCCGGCTTAGGGCCCCAGGCCTGGGCGCAGCAGGAGGCCAGAGCAGCGGCCTGGAGCTGTGGCAATGATGCAGTGGCAATGACGCTGTGACAAGGCTGTGCAGTGCCCTGGGCCCAGGACAGCCAGCCTGGATAGGCCGGTGCAGACCGTGCAGTAGGGCCAGGACTGCAGCAGGGACCGTGCTACAGATGACAGGGCCAGAGGAGAGCCAGGTGCAGGCGGCGAGGCCACCAGAAAGACGGGGCGCAGACATCTGAGGAAGGGCCTCTTCTCTTCTGCCTGTATTTGGGGCTGTGCCTCAGCCTTGCCAACCGCCAGCGCGACTAGAAGGCAGACGTGGTCGGAATCCAGCACCCCCGTGAGCCTGTCAGGCGCAGAACGTGGGGGCTCAGGGTGAGGGTGGTCCCACGCAGGTAGGCCTGACAGCCCGCACACGGCGGCGCACAGACACACGCGGGAGAAAACCGCAATTCCCATCCTTTCAGTGTGGGTTCCCGGCGCCAAGCCCCCTGCACCTCTCGGAGCCTCAGTTTCCCCATCTGTAAACAGGGGCTGGGAGCACTTACTTCACCTGGGCTTTAGTGAGGTTTAGACAACAAGGAGGGAGTGCTCAGTGAGGGCTGGCAGTATGCCCTGCATCTGGAGGAGCACACGAGGGGGTCCATAAGGGGACACTCAAGTTGGAGGGTGGCCTCAACCCCTCACCCCTGTCTCTCAGTGGGCAGCTGGTGCTCTGGGGGACCTGCCACGGGCCCACACACAGTGCCAGGTGTGGGGACACAGGCAGGGGGAGGAGGTGGGTGGGAAACCTAAGGACTGCCAGGAATTTCTGCTCAGGACGTCCAGGAGGGCTTGGGCCTGGCCTCTAACACTGTGCCCCAAGCATCAGCAATCAACAGCCCTCCCAGTATCCACCTGTGACCAGCACCCACGGGGCTGCCCACGAGCCCAGCACTGGGCCAGGCTTGTGCTTGGGAGGCACAAAAATACATAAAGAAAGGGGCGCTCCTGAATGCCATACCCCAAAACTAATCTCTAAAGGGGGATGCAAAGAACCTAACAACAGCTGGACGCAGTGGCTCACACCTATAATCCCAGCACTCCGGAGTTTTAGACCAGCCTGAACAAGAGCAAGACCCCATCTCTACTAAAAGAAGAAAAATTAGCTGGGCATGGTGGCTCATGCCTGTAGTCCTAGCTACTCAGGAGGCTGAGGCAGAAGGTTTGCTTGAGCCCAGGAATTTGAGGCTGCTATGAGCTATACTGACGCCACAGCACTCTAGCCAGGGTGACAGAGCGAGGCTCTGTCTCAGAAAAAGAAAAGAAGGTAAACAACATCTAGTGGGAGGTGCTATGTTCCCGAAGGAAGGTACGGGCGCTGCCACAGGGGGGAGCTCCCAGCCAGCAGGAGGTGGAACTCAGCTGGCACCGTGACCAGAGGGAGAAAGCAGCTCAGAGCGCTTTCTTGGCATCCAGTGCCAAGTCCAGTCCACTGGCCCAGAGCACTGTGTCAAGGATCCTGAGAAGGAAAAGCAGGTTCATCAGCTCGGGACACCTGCGAGGGAGGAGGGCCATTCAGACCCTCGTGGCCCTGTCCGCTGCCCTGTCACCAGCACAGCTCTTCTGAACTGCTTGGTGACCCTGGACATTCTGCCTTGGAGAAGGCTCTAGTATGAACACACAGTGAGAAAACTGCAACTCCCAGAGCAGCCCCATCTCTGCAGGAAAAGTCACCCCTTCATGGTTGACAATGTCCCCACACATGGGCTGTGTTAAAGCCCCGACTCCTAGGCAATAGGAGGGAGCCACTGGGCCGGTCCAAAGCCCCTTGGGCAGAAAACACCCACCGGGCAGGTGTCAGCTCGAGTCGCACGGCCACAGCCTCCCAGCCTGGAGCGCCGGTGACTGCAGACCAGCTGCAGGTGGTGGGGGGAGAAAGCACTGAACTCCTCTTGAAAGGCCAGCGCTGGGTGCAAAGCTGCCTGCATCTGCCACAACCGAGATAACTAGCCTTTGCCTTTGCTTACACCGGCTGGCAGAGACCTCCAGCTCCAGCAGCGACCGTCTGCCCCCAAGCCTACCCAGCTGAGAGCTGTGAAGCCTGTGATCC